GCTGTCTTCCATTTGTCTGTCTAGACACCCGTTGCTCCAATCTATCTTGGCCACTTCCCACAGAGATGATTTTTTTTCTCTCTCTACCAAGCCAGATTCTCTCTTTCCTGCCATTCATCGATTTTTCACAATGTAAAACAGCCTGTTTTATTTATCGTCTGGCCATCTTATGAAAGACATGATCCAGGGCCGGAGAGATAGCTCGGAGGTTAAGAGCACTGACCGTTCCTCCAGAGGACATTCAAATCCCAGCACACACATGACAGCTCACACCTGTCTGTAACTCCATGATCTGACACCCTCACACAGACATACATGCAGGCAAAATGCCAAATGCACATAAAATAAAAATAACGTTTTTAAAGACGGTCATGATCCAACAGGTGTCTTTCAGCTTTCCTTCCCTTCTTCAGCGCACGGCCCATGAAGCCCCGCACACTTTGGCACACACTTTGCCTCTATGTGGAGGCCTCCCCGGCCCTCCCGCATGACGTACAATGTCTTCTCCAAATAGCACCCCCAACCTCGTGGATATCCCATGAGCCTACGGAGCACCATGATAGGAGCGTCATGACTTCCATGTGCACTGCAGCCGGCTTCAGAGCGGAACGCCTGACTTGGGTTCTTCTATACATCCCAGAGTTCCTGGCACACGGCACACGCATGTGCACCGTGCACCCAGAGTCATGTATCAAACTACATACGTAGAAGTTGACATGTATGTCTCTAACCGTGAAAGTTTATCTTATCTCCCCAGTCGACACCCACGCTGGGGGCACCGTGGAAAGAGCGTGTGAGTCAGCATCCAACAACAGGACATGGTTTCACCTCTTCCTAGTTGTGTGGCTTTGGGCTTACAAAAGGAGGTAATATTGCAAGGTGAAGTTAAATAAGAGACGGATGTGTAAAATTCCTGAGAACCTGCGGCATGAAAGAGCCGCCCTCAAACAATGCATTATGCCACGGAATACCGTGCACTGTATCCATCCAGCCGTCTCTCCATCCATCTGCTATACAATACACATACATACATGACAAACAGGCCTTGATCTTCCTGTAAAATCGAAGTTCAGGACGCCCAGCTGGGCTCACACTGAACCGATCTACTTTTCACTCCACAGTCCTTGTACACCTGTGCATATTCGTCTGCATTTGACATAAACTGGTGTCTTTTAATTAGTGGAAGCTTATTCTGTGGTCAAGTATCGCTTCCCAGAAACGTGTGTCTACCGTGCCTTAGTTTCATACTGAGAAGCATGAGGGAAGTGTGGTTTTACATATAGGCCATTTCACCATTTTCCCCCTCTCGCCTCGTGCAGGTGCAGAGCTAAGGTGGGGGGAGGGGGTATACGGAAACTTTCTCATCTGTCTCCAAAGCTCCTGCTGGCAACACACATCTCATCTACCCAAAGTGTAATGTTGTGAAGGAAAGAGGCTTCAATAACCACATATGCTCACACACACACACACACAGAGAGAGAGAGAGAGAGAGAGAGAGAGAGAGAGAGAGAGAACACACACGTACTGCCCTCTTTTCCATAACATCGGATTCATTGTGCAATGCCCGGCTTGGTAATTTAACGTCTTGAGGATAAAACAAGGCACAGGGGGATCCAGAAAGGTGAAATTAGTTGCCAAGTCCCAGCTGATGATAATACTTGCTTGTAGCCTTTTAGAGAATTTAGTATAGGCAAAAAGAAAAAAGAAAATTATCTGGCAGCCAGTAAACCATTATAAAAATATAAGAATGCACCTGGCGCGGTGGCGCACGCCTGCAATCCCAGCACCTGGGAGGCAGAGGCAGATGGATCTCTGTGAGTGTGAGGCCAGCCTGGTCTACAAAGTGAGTCCAGGACAGCAAAAGCTGCAGAGAGAAACCCTGTATTGAAAAAACAAAGTATGTAATTAGTGCTTCAGCTGCAAAGCTATTTCAGGTTTTATGCTATGCAAAATACTCAAGAATTAAAAATCCAGTTAGCTGTGTTTGTTGGAAAAATGCTTCAACATTTTTTTCTGTGTTGTAGTTCTTCATACCGAAGAAACCATTGAAAAGGGAGAAAGTTTAGAAGAATTTCAGGCTTTTGGGTTTGCCTTCACTCGCTGATTGATGCTTTCACTGTGCAGCATCATGAGGTCCTTTTGTCAACTGTCAGTCTTAACTCCTGGGCAAATGGAGTCGTACTCAGAAGTCCTTCTCCGCTTGCATCCTGTAGGATGCTGCTGCTTTCTTCTAGAGTTTCAGTGTTTCAGGTTTCACAGTCTGACTTCCTAAAGTGAGCTCACGTGAAACCTCACTACGACTTCCTTCATCTATAGCTTTAACTTCCTTGATACTTTGTCTTGCCAGTTTCATTTCTGTTCAGATTTTTTTCCCCACCTCTTAACTCTGAAATTAAGTATAAAGTTAATATGGCTTTCCTTGAACCCTGATATAGTATTTCTGCCTATTAAAAATACTGAAGACTATTGGAAAAACGAAACAAACAAAATATATATATATATCAGTTATGTCTGTCGTATTCCAGCAAGATTCCACAGAAAACCTGAAGATATTTACAGCAACTTTTCTCATAGCCATCAAAACTCAAGACAACTGAGATGTCCTTTGATAGGTAAATTGAAGATTCTTCTTTGGTATATCCAAAGAGTATTATTTTTCAGAGATGAAAAGAAATAAAAAACAAAACATGAAAATGCATGAAGGTAACCTATGAGTATTACTCGCAGCAGCGGCCAATCCAAAGAGTGTCACAGATTTCAACTATGACATTCCCGCAAAAGAAATGCTAGGGACACAGTAAGATTCATGCTTGTCAGCTAGAGGGGCTGGACCAAATAGGCAAAACATTGGGTTTTGAGAACAGTGGCAATACTGTGTGATATTATAATAGTGTCATACACATTTACCTAACCCAATTAACCGTAAATTATGGGTGATGATGGTATGTCAGTGACCTTCATGAATTGCTGTGGACTCTAGTAGTGGGTTGGCCATGAGTAAGGAATAATACAGGTGCAATTCAAAACCTTTGTACTTTTCTCCCCAATTAATATTGCTGACTCTAAAAGACTCCAAAATAAATAAATACGTACATACATACACACATAAATGATAAATATACAAATAGGTAGGATAGATGGAGAAGTCATGCCCAGGCCGCAGAGCTGTCTTCATAAACCCTTGACATCCCACCATTCCCTGTATCCACAATGAGTTTTCTCTCATCTATACCAAGTTCTCCCACCCCAGTGTTGGAACCTGTTGTATCTGAGTGTTACAATTCTCCAGAAAGAAGGGGCTTGAAGTCTAATAATGTGTGGCAGTTAACCACAGTAACCAATTTAGACCCCAAAGAGAATATGTGGCTGATATGTTTACACACATTAGCATTTAAATAACTGCACACTTTTTGAGAAATAAGTCAAAGTATTTATTTATGACATATTTACATACTTACAAAAATGATTTTATCCAATACATCATTCTACATAATATCACAAAATGAATACAATATCCTAGGAAAAAATCTACACTTAATAATTTATGTTTAACTCAACAACTTTTACAACAGATTATCAATTTGGCTTTATAAATCACACAGTCCTGCTTAGTTTTCTTTTTTTTCTTTTTGCCGAATAACAAGAGTAAACTAAAGGGCACGCTGAAGAAATTTTAGTTGACCCTGAGTAACTGCTAATTTGCATAATTCAGAATAGGTGTACATTATGTGCTTTCATTTGTTTTCTTACACACCTACACTTAAGATCGAAGTGTCTTTATCTCTGGCTAAAGACAAGAATGGGAAAACAATAATGAAAAGAGAATCAGAAGAGAAAACTCCCAGTTTCTAAGACTCTTCCAGTTTCAGGAATCTGTGGCAGGACAGCGTTGTCTCAAAAACTAGTAGGGGGTTAGGGCTGGGGCTGGAGCTCTTCAGTAGAGTGCTTGGCAGGGGTAAATGAGCTGTCAGCTCCATGCCCAGGATTGTAACAAACAAACCAAGCCGGAGCAGAACAGGAAAAGCAACAAAAACTAAATGGGATGACCTTGGAACTAAATAGCTGAGCGATCCTGTGAGGCTGATGTTAATTTTTTTTTTCCTGTTTTATTTCCCAACTGATAAAAAAATAAATTAAAATAAAAATTCAATAATATGGAGCTCAAAACAAACAAACAAACAAAAAAAAACCCCAAAACTTCATGAGAACCGCCATGACAATGGTAACACACTCTTACATGATTTTTCCTAAAAGGCTTGAAAAGGGCAACAGCCACCCACAAAGTCCCTAAAAATGTCAGTGTGGAAGTTATGCAAGACAGGTAGGAAGAGAAAAGTGCAAGGAAACAGAAGGGCCGGGAAGGGAGCCAGGGCTTTGAACTGGCCAGGCCTGAATGCCACCAAGCAGATTCCTACACAAGCTACCGGGAGAGATCAATCAGCACTCCCTATTCTTCCTTCTAACTTAGCAGGGGAATCCCAGGGTGACAAAGGTCAGGGAAGACAAGCCTGTGGAGTCATCCCTGCTCCGACATCTTCCAAAGAAAATTCTGGGCCAGAGGAAATTGTCTACAGAGATCAAATTGGATCAAATAGTTCTCCCTTCTATCTGCCCTTTGCTCCTCCTCCTCTCACAGAAGGCAGACTAAGTAATGACAATTATCCAGTTTCAAACAAGCCATGACACAGGTCTGCCACTGTTATTTGAGGATTCAGTGAAAACTGTCACTCAATGAGATGTCAGTGACCTCTAGTCTACTAGAGCAGCCCTCTAAAACAGTAGCTGAAGCAGTGCAGACTCAGTGAAACACTGAAGAGAAAAACAAGGTACCTTTCAGAGACCGCAACACCTGTCTCAGAGTACAACAGAACGCTATCATCCAGCCAGTGTCCTATGAAATACTGTTAGACAATGACAGTTCTTTTCTCTACCCCACTCTCGTGTGTGTGTGTGTGTGTGTGTGTGTGTGTGTGTGTGTGTGTGT